GGGCTCTTCGGCCCCTGGGCCTGACAGTGTGCCCGAGTCACACGTGCGCTGACATTATTTTCTACTTCCCGACCGATGGAAGGAGCAGCAAGGCCAGCTCTTTTCATAGAGAGAATTACACCGGCTGGTCGCTAAATGCCACCCGAGCTGAATGTACAACCCTGCCCCTTGCCAGAGCCCCTCCCCTGCCTGCTGCTCTCCCTCCGTGGGGCCCAGCCCCCGTCCCCTCCCCACCACCCCTCCAGCCACACGATAACCCTCCGTGGCAAAGACTGCCTGTGTCACCGAGTCTCAGTCCCCAGGGCGGGCTTCTCCCTGGGGCTGGTGTAGCGCCCGTGGTTCTGCCTGGCTCTGCCCAGTGATGCGAGGCCTGCTCTGGTCCCAACAGGGGACGCCTTCCCGGAGGCGGTTTCCACCACCGTACACTTCTAAACCAGGGGAAGGAGGGGGAAAACCCTGGGAGCTGCTGACACGCCTGGACTGGGGGCTCTTGCAGCCTCTCGTCCCACCCTGGCAGCCCTGGACGCTGGGGCCAAGAGCCCCAGGAAAATGGTGGGTCCCAAAGAAATGTGTCCAGATGGGACCGGGCGATCTTTCCACTGCCTGTCATCCGAGACCCGCCCCGGTGTGGACCTGCACAGACGGAAAGACCTTGGCCCACGGGGGGCTGAGCCCCGGCCTCCAAAGATCCCTGGAACCTGTGAACATGTCAGGCCACATGGCAACAGGGACTTCACAGATGTGACGCAGTTAAGGGTGTAGAGAGGGAGAGTCTCCCGGATGACCCAGGGGCCCTTTGGGAGACGTGACCAGAGAGGCCGGAGGCTGGGTGACGCGCCACGAGCTGAGGAATGCTGGCGCCCGGCAAGGCCAGGGATGGCTCCTCCCTCGAGCCTCCAGAAGGATCCAGCCTTGCCGACACCTTGATTTTGGTCCCCTAGGACGCATGTGGGACATCTGGCCTCCAGAACAGTGGGGGAACACGTTTCCGTTGTTTGCAGCCACTCCGTGTGTGGTGACGCTACAGCAGCCGCAGGAAGCTGCTGCAGCTCACGCCAGGAGCTGAGCCCTCATCCCCCAGGGAAAGGGAGACAGTCCCAGCGGCAAGTTGGGACGTCACAGAATGAGAACCCAGGACAGCCTACTCCCGGCTTTGGACAGTGAAATGACCTCAGCGGTCTCCTGTCCTGAAAGTCGTTCCGTGCCCAGGATCTTCCCCACGAAGAGGGTGGGGGTCCCCGTGTGTGCGAGGGACGGGGCTGGGGGGACCGAGGAGCCCTGGAGCCCACCTGCACGGTGACGCCTCCCCTGGCCTTGGTGAGCTTTGGTCCTGTGTCTCCGTCCAGATGACGCTGAGAAAAGCTCCAGGAGGGGAGTGCGCAGAGATCCAGGGTTCCTCGAGCGAGACGCAGCCGGCCGGGCGAGCCAGTGGGCTCGGGCACCTCCTCGGCCCGGCTGAGAACAGCAGCCGCTGCTGGTCTGAAAACGTGCGGCAGGAACGCCACGGCGTCACCTGAAGGCCACCTGCTTTGGATCTTTTGGCACGTCACGCGTTAGCAGGTGGAGGGGAGCCCCGTTTCCACGGTGCAGGTGCAGCTGGTCCCCGAGCTGCGCGCTGACACGGGGTGAGGGCTGAGCACGTCCCCGCAGGGGCAGTGAGGGCCGCGCCAGCCCTCCAGCCTGCCCTGCCGCCGCCCAGAACTGCCTGCCCTGGGAGCCAGCCGCGGGCTGTGGCTGGTTCTGCAGACCCTGCAGCGCCACTGGGTCACACTGCAGAAAGGAAAAGGCCACCTGGGAATACCGTGGCGGTGAGCTCGAGTTGGCGTGACCAAGTACCACAGAAACGTGTTTTCTCATAGCTCTGGAAGCTGCAAGTCCAAGGTCAAGGTGTCCGCAGGGCTGGTGCAGGTGGTCTTTTCTCTGTCCTTGTCTGTGTCCAAATTTCCTCTTCTCATAAGGATGCCAGTCCCATTGGATTAGTGATCTAACTTTAACTCGATTACCCGTTTGAAGACTCTATTTCCAAGCTATGGTCACAATGAGGACTGGGAGCGAGGAATTTAACACACTAATATTTTTTTGGGGGGACACAATTTATATGTAATAAATTATGGTTTGCTTTTGTAGGCAACTGTCAGTTGTTAACCAGAATCATGCTGGGGCCTCCCGACCTGTAAGGACAGATTGCTGTCCTTACAGCAAGGCCCCAGGGATGCGGCCCGAGGGGTGGACTCAAGTTAAGCCAAGTCCCAAGAGATAAGGAGACTCAAGCCAAAAGGATGTGCTGGTCCCCAGCCCTCGAGGGAAGCCTGGCCTAGCTGATGACAGCAGGAAGCGCCATGCTTCAAATGACGGTCTCTCTTGCACCTGCTTTAAAGGCCAACCCTGAGGCCAGAAAGATCCACAGGGAGTGCAAGTGATGGCAAAGGCAGCACTAGAGGCGGCGACCATCTGAGGTCGGGAGGGGCCAGGGTGCAACCCCGAAATCCCATCTGCTCCTCTGGGGAAGGCAGCGGGGTCACTGGCGCCACCTGCTGGCCTGGCCTAACGAACCCCCCCCCAGTAGTCTGGGACACCTGAGATATGATCTCAAGCCGGCTCAGTCTACACTGTTGCTTCCGCTGCACAGACAGCGGGCCCCTGGAAGAGGAATTCTCATGGGTGTCATCCCCTCGGGCAGTTGTAGTAGCAGCAGCTGACATGTGACACGGGGGGGGGCACTACTTTTGTGACAGCTACTTTTAACGTCTCCAGTTCTAGAGGTGAGGTCACTGAGGCTCAGAGTTGATGACAGAGTTGGGACGTGAAGGCAGGCAGCCAGCTCCAAGCATGTGTCCTACTACTTACCATTACTGTGTGATGTACTTAAATATATTCTGTACTTTTTTGTGGCTCCATTTAAAAAAAAAATGCTAGTCGCAACAACACTCATTTCACAACCTACAAATGTGGCAAGATTTGATTTGGAAAATGCTGGCTTAGATGTTTCTATGTGTTCAAGAGCATGTGTCTAGTTCACTTCTTATAGAACCTTCCCTTCAAAGGAGGCTAAAATTTTGGTTGAAGGAGAAAAAATATTATTTCCCAAATGACCTCCAAAATGACAGATGGGCTCTACCAAGTACCTGAGATACATAATGTCATCGCAATAGAACCTGCCAGTGCAGTTAGGTACATGTGTCCCTTGAAGATGACTTTAGGAGGTCCAGTTTCATTTCCATAGTATTATTTCATTTCCCAGGTTTATAGCTTAATTCTCATTTTATTCTTATGGTTACTTTCTGTTTTAGGTAAAAGATACTAGTTTTCTATATACTGAATTTTCCTCTAAGTTTATGGTAGCAGCACATTTGTCTTATGTTTTTGAAGTGGCTCAGTTTAAAGAAAAACCCTAACAGTGAGGGCGTGGCTGGGTGAGCGGGCTTGGGCAAGGCCGCCGTGCTGCCCATTTCCCCTCCCTGGGTGGCAGTCGTGCTCGTGAGGGCCAGACCGCACCCCGTCAGCAAGCTGCTGACCTGCACATCCTCCCTTCTCCCACCGATCGTCCTTCCCCAGGACCCCCTGGCGCCACGCAAGCACTGACACGGGTGGGAAGGCAGGGTTCAGTCGGCCCCGTGACCCAGAGGATCTCCACAGGCAGACTCGCAGGTCCCCGTGCACACGCGTGGGCACACACAGACGGCGTCACACGCAGCCGTCACATTCCCAGGCTATGTCCACTATCTGTCCCCAAGTACACGAGATCAGACCAAACATTATAGGAACGGAGAAGTACCCCTTCCTGTACACAACCCACATCCGAAACACCTCGTTTCAGCACCATCTGTATACTCCGTCCTTGCTACCAGGCCTGCGCCCACAATTAGCTGCCGAGGAAGTGGCCTTACCATCGAGGAGGAGAAAAGTCCGGCAAAAGCGAACAGAAAAACCAAGTGAAAGCCTGACACTTATGGAGGAATCCAGGTGGTGGACAGAGGGAAGGTATGTTCACTGTAAAAACTCCTCCAACTTCTTATGTTTGAAAATTTTCATAACAGGTTGGAAAAATTGGTGAAAGAGCACAGCTTGTCTCCCCCACGAGGTTTACATGTTCCACATTCGATGAAGCAGATCTGTTTTTAGCAGGGTGGACAGTGAATATTTAATGGCAGAATATGACATGACATTTATTGAAACAAAAATGTCAAGATTACACTGGTATCTTTTTGAATTAGGAGATGCCATCAGATTTATCAATACTTAATGAGCACCTACTGCATGCAACTTTCAGCACAGGGATGAAGAAGTCTGGGGCGAAGAGTTCCTCGAAGACTCCACATACAGAGTTCTAGGAGGCATGGCAGTCAGTATTTTGAGCGGTGTAATGATCTCAGTGAACACTCACTGGCTCGTCACCAGCAAACACGCGGGGTGTGCTTGTGCTCTAGGTTCTGGGAGGTGGAGAAATGAGTCTTGCACACGCTGGTGGCAGCAAAGAGCTCCCGACGCCAGGTTTCTGGCAGCCCGAGTCCACCCTTGGATTTAGGCGAGTATTTTAAAACTATCCCCTTGGTGAGGTAGCAAGGCCCGATCCTGGAAAAGAACACTCTAATACTCTACTTTTAGACTCATTATTTTGTCATTGTCAACTGGAGCCAGTCACCAGCCTGTAATAAGAGTAATGAAACTCCAGCTAAGCTGAAGCTGACTAGTCTAGTCCCACCTCGAGTGAAAGTCGGCTACTAAGACCATCACACTCGAATCTCTCCTCAGAGTAGCCTTTTCTACTCGCTAGATCTTCTCATACGTACAGATCACAAAACCACATGCCTGATTCATAAGGGGAAGGGAAAAATTAGCTGTAAACAGTTAACTTGAACATTCAGATTTTTCTAGTGCACCTTTTTATCTCTAAAAAACATATTTTCAGGCTAAAAAAAAAAAGCAAAAAAAAAAAGGGGCCGAAATCAATTGGTAAACAACAAAAAAATTAAAACAACGAACAAAAGCAAGCCCCTCCAAAAAAAAATTTTATTTCATTGCTTTCTACGAGCAAACACATCTTACAGCAGTAATGCCAGGACTTCACACTCGGCAAGTCAGAGTTCACATACAAGCCCCAAACAATAAGGCGTAAGAAGCATTTGGGATCACAGGGTAAAAATACAATAGACTCAAAAGTCACACATTAAGTTGAATTTCATTTTGAATACTTACCAATCAGGAATTTTAAATTACTATGAAATAAAAAGCAACACCCAAATGATCACTACTGGGGGCACATGTTCAGAGCAATTCCCATGCAGAGGACCTGGGTTCTACCCTGAAAGACACACAAGTATCACCCACTTGGGCCTTGCAAGGCAGGCCTACACTCAGCACAATGAACAGTCCCCACTTCAGAGTCACTAGGAAGTCTGCACAGCAGAGCCGGAAAGCACAGGGGATGTTGAAGAAGGAAATGAAGGAAGTAAAGGAAGAACACAAACTCTGCCTGCCAATGCTTAGAGGGCTCCATGTGGCAGAAATAATTGAACCTCAGGATTCCCTTTCTCCTAATGTACAAGATTTCTGCATTTCCCAAAGGGTGTCTGAAATCATAATTCAAAACCCAATGCTGATGCCAGGCAGGATGACCACTTCTGAGATTACTGGGTGGGGCAAGGGAGAGAAGGAAAAGGAAGCTCAGTAGGCAATCTTCAAAATATTTTATTACAAAATACAGTACAGGGTTCATAGACTGTTTTCCAATATTCTCTAGTACATACACTGCTGAATGAAGCACTGCAAAATACCTGGCATCGCCCTCAAAAATCTAACTTCTATAATAATTTCAATCCCCTCAGAGTTACAGAAAAACTCTGCAACAGGCAGTGGAATGGAGAGACGGCAAGTCGCCGTGGACAGCTGGGCTCTCGACTGCTCAACAATGACATGGTTTTCTCCAGGGGTTGAAATCCACGTCCGCGGCTGACAACCCACAGCTGGGATCAAATTCGTACAGAGACGAGGCAGAGTGGCGAGAGAATGACTCTGGACAACCCAGAAGTCTCAGGCTGCTACTTCTTATTCCTGGGTTTTAGCTCTTCTGCTGCATTACGTAGGAAAATGTAATTTTTCTTTTGGGGATTATAAAACTCATGTCCCTAAAGAAGAAAAAAAAAACCCTGATAAGTTTATTATTAAAAGCAACAGTTAGCATTCTGTGGTCACTTTTTATCTGTCAAGTCCTGTGCTATGTGCTTAAAGCAAAATCTCTCAGGGTGGGGAGAGGGACAAAACAAAACAACAAAGATAGAAATAAAAGTCAAATGGTACAAAAAAACTTTAGTCGTCAGAGAAGGCTGAGGACCTGGTGCAAGTCTGCCATCAACCCCCTGCTGGGAGGGACTGTCTTCACTTGTTTGTCTTTTTGGTACTGAGCCCCTTTAACACCATACGCCTTCAATGCCAAGATCACTGCCCTGGGGTCCCTCGGTCAGGACTGGCTCTGACCTGAGGGGTTTCGCGGAGGAGAGGACACCTGACCCATGACGTGTCATAGGGATGAGGACCCAGGACGACCCGCCCACACAGGAGCCGTGGCAGACACAGGCACGCGGGGCAGTGAGCACATCTGCTCCTGCCACACTGGAGGGGACAACGGGCCCCGAGTGTAAGGATGAGGCCAGACTATAAAGGGCCATGAACAGCAGGTTGAGGCCTCTGAACATTACCCACAGGGACAAGGAAGCGTCAGTGGCATGATCAGATTTGAGTTTTAGGAAGAAAGGCGAGTTGGGCGGACAAGGCAGGTAATCTGCGAGAGCCAGCAGGCAGGTGATCAAAGGCCGGGAGAGCAGAGGGGCACGCTCTGCCCGAGCCACAGAGCCATGTTTCTAGCCTCAGCTGGCGGGAGGTCGAGAGCTGTTGTGCTCAGCTGTGACCACTGATTCCCACCACAACATGCAAAGCGCAGCTTTTGTGAGCAGCTATGTTCAAGCTAGTACTATTAATCATATGTGATCATGATTTTATATCAGAGATGACTGTCCTTGAACTGAGAACAATGCACAATTCCTGAAGCAAAAGTTTTCTTTAAACAAAGACTGGAATTTTTGTAACCCCCACTATAAAGTGACAATTATTAACTGCTTAGAGGAATTAGACTACCTTAATTCTAAGCAGCACTCAATGCAGTGAGATTTCCTCCTCCCTTCAACTCACTACAGGGTGCTTCAGTGCGTACGTGCACGGAACCCTGAGCGTGATGCGAGTTAAAATGCAGCATGGGATGCAGCTGCTGGGCTGAGCGCATGAGACACTCAGTGAAGGGCTCCACTGAGGGACCAAGCCCTCCGTCCCCGTGCAGGCCCCAGCCTGCATAGCCTCAGCCAGGCAGAAGCACAACGGCGCACTCTTTGCAGAGCTGTGTGCACGGCTGACACAGGTGTGTGGATGAGCAAACGGTGGCATCCCCATGCCAGGGACGGGACTCGGCACTAAAAAGGCACAGATAAGCGATACACTCCACAGCGCAGGTGAGTTTCAAAATCATTCAGCTGAGTAAAAGCAGCCAGGGGAAAAAAGAGTGCATTGTGTATGAATCCATTTATGTAAATTCTAGAAAAGGCACAGCAAGCTATAGCGACAGAAAGCAGATCCACGCAGGGGAGGGATTACAGCACACACGGAAACCTCTGGGGGACATGAACATGTCTGTTAAACTCCTGAATGTGGTGATGGTTTCAGATGTCAAAACTGATCGGATTGTACACTTTAAACACATCCAATTTACTGCATTTCATTGTACCTCAAGAAAGTTGCTTTTAAAAAAAGGAAGAAGCTGCTAAGCAAGCCCTGAAGAGAGAGGGACACAGGAGCAGCCTGGTGGGCAAGGGGAGGGCAGGGTGGGAAATGGCTGGATTGCTCTGTCTTAAGCGAAGGGCCACAGGGGATACCCAGGCGCAGCCACCCTGCTGAGACTGGGAAACACTGAAAGAGAAGGGGGAGAGGCCAGGAACTGAGTCAGAAACCGCAAGTCACTGGCTTTTGTGGGCAGAGCCAGGGCCCTGGAATGAACGCTTGGAAGAACCCGAGGAGCAGCTCAGGCTGAGACGGCAGGTAGGAGCCCAGAGAGATGAGAGGAGGATGGCAAGCAGCAGCTGGAAAGAACCAGGAAAGATAACAAAGATAACGAGAGAAAACAAGGGAGGGGAGCTCTGTGGAGGAGGCAGGGATGGATCACAGCGCCTGGCACAGGACGGAGGGAAGCTCTGGACTGGACAAGGAGGATGCGGCCGAGACTCCTGACTACGGCTCCAGGAGGCCAGAAAGCACCTGGCAGTGGACTGAAGACGGGCCAGAGGGCAGGGAACGACGAGAGCAGGTGCTACCACTCCCCAAGCAAGCTTAGCAGCGAAGGGCTACAGGCTTCTCAAGGCTTCCTGTGCACTTAGACACAGGGGAAGCAGCTGGGGGACAGGGATAGAAGATGGTGGGAGAAAGGGCCAGCATCAGGAAACGGAGTGTGTGAGGGACCACGTGTGGGCTGGGTGAGGGAGGCAGAGACCAGTGAAGACGGACATGCGTGGAAGACACTATGGTAGGGGAAGGTCTAGGAAGCAAAAGGCAGAGGGGATGTGGGAAGAGAAAATGAAGACCACAAACATAATGAAGGCGTATTCTCCAGAACTAACAGCTGAGAAGCAGGGCAAGTTGCATACTGGTCGGCAGATGACACACTTCACGTGGGGTCTGGGCAGAGGACCTGAGTCTGCACATTTCACCATAGCTCCCAGAGGCCTCAAAAACACAGCCATGACCCTGCCAGCTTCTAACTCCCCAGCCCAAACAAATAATCAAAGCTGCATGACGGGGCCCTCTCACACTCTCCCAACTACAGGAATCACTCTCTCAAAGCATCAGCCCCTCCAGCTTGCCCATCCTTCTGTACCCAGGGACAGGGCAGCCTGTGACCGCTTACACTGACTGGGCACTTCCCGTGTGCCGGGCTCTGACCAAAGGCTATAATGAATTCCCACAACCCATCAAGGACACCCTGCTATCTCCCCTTACAGGGAGGTGGCAGTGATGTGAGTCCGGAGAAGAATCACAACTCAAGCCTATGCTCTCCCAACCCAGAGCCCGACTCTGCTGCCGTGCGGCACCCAGAGCAGGCCTGGGAATTCTCACCTTTGACCAGTCATAGCTGGAAGCATACGCAAATATGTTTCCATTGTGATTGAAGCAGCAAGCCGATATCGGTTGATCTAACTGTTCTGAAGTTTTTAGTTTTGTTCTGGCATCTTTGTCCCAGAAGCTGAATCTGCCATCAGATCCCACAGTTGCAAGGGTGCCGTGAACAGGATGGAATGCGATTCCATTTACCTGCAAGGATTGATATACATAATGAGAAGCCAAGGCAGAGGATAGAGAAGCGGGTTTCATCAATGCACACTTCCCGTTTGAGTTAGGAAACCACGTGCACACACACATTTCATTTGAGCTGGCTGCCCACTGATTAGAAGAGCAACTCGCCATGCTTCCTGAATCAGCTGCCAGCCCAAAACTAAATCTTGCCTCTTGTGAGGAACACACATCAGCAGAAGTTAATGTGTGTATTTAGCAAGTATCACCAAGGGGCATGTAGCAGGAAAGTGCCTTTTTCTTTTTTAGCAAACAACAATTTCTTAGTCTTAGCTCCGTGTGCAAACTGTCAGAGGAGGCAGAAACTCTCCCAAAACACCTTAAGCTTGCATTCAGAAGTAAGAGAATGACGCCAGTCAATATGTTCATAAAAACAGAAAACCAAAGCCTACAGCATAAGCCATTTATCTCCAGACATGAATACATACAGGCCCTTAAGTGATTAATCTTTTCTGATCCCATAATTACTCAGCCACCTCCAAGTCAAGTTTCCGGATGTATTTTCAAGGTAAAAGTTGCTAAAAACATACCGCGTAGATGTCCTGAGGAGCTGAAGTGTTGGTTCCGTTAGATCGATGACATTTAAAAGTAAAGTTATCTTTAGCACTGAAAAAAAAAAGACCCACCTAAGTTTTCCTTTCTAAAAAAAAGTCTCAATGCAAGTGTGCAAGCTGACTGAGTCCCACTTACGGATTTGGGGGGTTGATGTAGTGAATAGCAACTCTCCCCTCGATACTTCCCAGGGCAAAACCAGTTGGCTTGTTCTGTTTGTCTTTAAAAATAGCTACACATCGATGCTACAGTTAAAAGAAAAAAAGGACGTTATCATGATATAACACAAGATTTCATGACTAATATGAAGGAAAATCATTGTTACCTAATTCTGGGGTTTTAGAAGAACCAGAAACATATTACTCACATATGATAAAGAAGCATTACTTTCTAACTTTTTCATGCAGGGTCTTGCTCTGTCACCCAGGCTGGAATGCAGTGGCTTCATCATAGCTCACTGCAGCCTCAAACTCCTGGGCCCAAGCGATCATTCTGCCTTCCAGCCTCCTTGGACTATAGATGAGCACCACCGTGCCCAGGCTATTTTTTTTAAAAATTGTTTGTAGAGATGGGAGTCTCACTATGATGCTCAGGCTGGTCTCAAAACTCCTGGCCTCAGTGATCCTCTGGCCTTGGCCTCCCAAAGTGCTAGAATTATAGGTGTGGCTACTGTGCTTGGCCTAAATACATGCTTCTTGAGTTGACTTATGACTCACCTGATGTTTCAATGGAGATTCTATCCTCCTGAACTCAGAGGGTTGATTCTCTAATTGATAAACAATGAGGCCCCTCTCTGCAGTCGCCACCACGGCCATAGGGTATATCTAGGGAACAGAGGAAAGCAGAGAATGTGCTTTTTCATACCAACGTTTTAGATCAACTTTTTAATCATAAAATTAAGTCTGAATTTTTTTTTAAGTTTAATAATCCAATGATATCTACGTGTTACACAAACCTAGAGAAATGGTATTTGAAAGAACCTTAACATATTTTTAAAAGACTTGTTTTGTAAAACTAACTATAAAAATAAGTGAATATTTAGAAAATATTACAGGATCTGAGAAGAAATATCCCTCCAAATAACTGCTAACATTAGGGTATATTTTAATTCCAGTCATTTTCCTGAGCGTTTTATCTTGTGTATGTGAACTTCTGTGTATTCCTGTCCTTTACTCAAAATGTTTCATGAGCATCGGCCCATGTCATACACTAGAGGCTGCTGTCTACTGTTCCTCAAATGAACCAATATTTTACTATATTATATAAGACAAAGACCATTTGCCTCCTTGATTATTTTCCTCAGATAAATTTCTAAAAGTAGAATTATTGGGGCAGTTGGTACAAAACTTTAAGACTTATCACTAAATGAACCAGCAAAGTTCTTCAGTTTCTATCCCACCCAGAGACAGTCCGCAAAGATCTAGTGCCACACCACAAGGTTACGACAAGCTTCCCTACCGTCACACGATAAATGTCACACTAGGGATGGTATGTAGCTGGCTGTGTATGTTCAAACAAGTGACAAAAAACCTTGACATTCAGTATTTAGTTCATTCTGGAATAAATGCAGCACGCCAATCTCCCAATTTAAGATGACTAAAGCAACCTGAACTCTATCCCCCACATCTATTACTGAATTAAGAGGGAGTTTTAGATAACCCGTTAACTGCAAGGAGCCATAGGGTGAGAAATACTTAATTTGTTTTATAAAAAGAAATAAACATTAAGTTGGTATTTCTTACCACATCAGCACAGTAACACCTTTCAGGGAGTTGCAAAACCATCATAGGATTTGATGACCGAGTATCCCAAAACTAAAGGCAAAAACCAAAAGAGGAGCTGGTGAGTGACCATCTGGGGCCAACATCCGAATGGCGTAAGAACAATTGCCGAGCTTGACTGGGCCATGTGATACCTCAGCTGCGTATCATACCTTTAAAGTCTTATCCCAGCTCCCTGTCATCACACAGCTGTAGTTTGGAGCTTTGATCCAATGTATGGTTTTAACAGGAGCATCATGCTTTCAACAAGACAAAAATGAAACAGGTCAAGGTAAATGTAACAAGGTGCTAAATAGCTTTAGTTCTGGACATTCCAAGACAAAGAACTAATTTAAACACTGAGGTCACACCAAACAAAAATCAAAGGATACTAGTGCTTTCCCATGACCAAAATACTCAGTTTAATACAAAAGTGTATTTGATTTTTACCCATAATTAACTAATATGTGAGAGTGAAAGTACCCCTTTTTAGGGAGATTTTCAGCAATTTTACTAAGGTGACATGAATTAAGAGATCAAGGACATGCTTCTAGTACACAGTAGTATGATCTCAGCACGAGTGAAAATGTTTCTGTCAAGCAGCTCTTCCTGAACCCCCAACCAGCCTGGACCGTTGGCTCTAGGTTCTCTTACCTTTGTTACTTCTGCCCTCTCTTAGCATTCTTCACACAGAACCTGCTATGTCGCTGAGTAGACTGTAAAAGCCCCAAGGGCGTGTGGCAGTGTCCCTCTTACTCACTGCTATATTTTTTAGCCCCAGTGCAGTGCTTGACAAATAGCAGTCATTCAATAAACACATGCTGCACAGATGAGCAACCACATGTAGCTGGTAGAAGGCAGCCACAAATGGGTGTCGGAATGTCAAACACGGGTCAAGGACCACCAGTCACTTGTGTCTTGTATAGATTTAAACATCACTAACTCCTTATGATGCCATCTACACGTATATGAAAGACCCAGGACAAAACAATCTGAAATACTAGTAAGAGCGAGAATGGTTATTAAAACTGGTGTACTTTTTGTGCCAAAGAGGTTTCTGGTATATTAAGTCTAATTGATTTAATACAGTCACACTGCATTTTCTATAGTAGAGAACTACTGTAATTAAAGAATCATCACAATCCTGGGTACCAGTCTCGTCCAGCCATTCTGCAGGGGGCTGTTATTACCTGTGCGATCTGGATTGCTTGATTACTGTTGAGGTCCCACATTTTGGCAGTTTTATCACATGATGCAGTAAATACTTTGCTCCCATCCTAAAATAAAATGTAGAAAATTTTGCATTCTAAGAAAAACTAAATCTCTATCTTTATGGATACAGATATTATTAATAGGTTAATCATACTGGGGCAAGTTTTGTTTTATAATTTTTATTTTTCACCAAATTTGGCTTTATGGATACAGATATTATTAATAGGTTAATCATACTGGGGCAAGTTTTGTTTTATAATTTTTATTTTTCACCAAATTTGGCTTTATGGATACAGATATTATTAATAGGTTAATCATACTGGGGCAAGTTTTGTTTTATAATTTTTATTTTTCACCAAATTTGGCTTTCATGCCTCAAGGTAACTGGGTCTTCGGTGCCTCTACGTATGTGGTTTCCACTCCCCGCTGCACCCCAACCCCCCCAGGCCAGCCCATGCTCTTCCTCTAAGGCTCCATGGGTGAGGCTAAGCGCACAGCTCTGGAGCCAGGAAGGTCTGGGCTGAGGCTCAGCCTTTCACCTGTGACCTCTAAAGCAAACCCCGTAACCACCTGTGACTCTATAATCTTGTCACAACTTTCCACTAACTGTAATTCTTAACTGTTTCTGTATTTGTTTGTCCCTGAGCACAGGTCTGTCTGTTTGTTCGGCCTACTTTGATTTCCACTATATCCCCTGGGCTTAGCACACAATAGGTGCCTGATAATTAACTTGACAAAGAGATAGAGCTGAAATTTGATGCCAGGCCAAGCCTGGATGAGGGAATGCTAAAAAGCTGTAAGCCTGTGGTTTACTTTTCTCTTTTTAAGATTCAGCCCAATTCCTGTCTCTTTTGTAAAGCATTCATGGAACCCTTCCCAAACTCATAGTTGCTTTCTATGTTCTCTCCCACCTGCACCAATTCACCCTGCCTCCCTCAGAACTTAGCTCACTGATTTCATTCCTGCCTTTGAACCCCCCCACTAGCTGGTCTGTAACTTGGAGACAGGAAGTAGATTATATTCAGTTTTATTAATAGAAATTCCACAGCCACTCAATAACATTTGAGCAACACAATTCCTCTATCAGGTCATTCTATTTCTTGCCATATTTTGTCAGAAACTTTAAAATTCTGACCTATTACCCAATTAGTAAAGAAAGACAGGCAAAATAAATTAGAAATATTTTACATCTATTCAAGCTGCCACTTTACTATAGGAAAAGTAGGTTGCATCTATAACGAACACTTCAGTTTCCAAACTGTTCTCATGTATCTACTAACTTAGTCTCATAATAACCCAAACAGGCATTTCAGGAATACATTTTATAGACTGACAAAAATTCCTTGAGAAGCCATCATTGCAAATGAATAAAATGGGAGCAACTCTGGCTCCTAAACCATCTCAAAATATTATAAATACTAGAATTATTTCTCATAAGCTAAATAAGATCAAAGAAATAATGAGATTAAAAAATGACAATGTAAAATAGAATTATTTGGCAATTTCTCATAAAGTTAAAACATATATTTACCATATGAGACAGCAACCCCACTGTTAGATATTTACCCGAGTAATGAAAACTATGTTCACAGAAAATCCAGTATGTAAACATTTATAGCTGCATTATTCATAAGCACCAAAAACGGGAAACCCAAATGTCCTTCAGTTGGTAGACAAATGAATAAATGGTGACACATGCATAGAAGGGAAGACTACTCAGCAATAAGACAAACTACCGACAGACACAATCACATAGATCTCAAATGCAATGTGCAGAGTGAAGCAGCCAGACTCAAGAGGTTACACAATATAGGATTTCATTTATATGACATTTTCATAAAGGCAAAACTTTAGGGACAGAAAACAGATCAGTGTTTTCCAGGAGCTGAGAGTGGGAAGGATTTGACTACAAAATAGCAAAAGGGAATCTCTGATGGATCTGCTCTATATCTTGAACATAATTCTATGCGTTTCTTAAAACTCACAGAACTGCACACTAAAAATGTTCAATTTTACTGTAGGCAGGCAAATCACACCTAAGAACATTACTTAAAAAAATTAGGAACATTACTTAAAAAAATTAGGTACAAAGCCTGGGTAGGGACTTCTGCAGGTGAGGGGCCTGCAGGCTTAGCTTCTTTAGCCTCACAGCACATCTGCCCCTGACTTTCAGTCAGGCCCCTTTGTATTCTCTCTTCTTTTGGGTTCAGCCATCAGCAGCAGTGGTAGGAGAGGGGGAGGCAGGCTCCCCCACGCCAGGTCGAGGCCCCTCGACAGCGGCAGCCCGTGCTGCGCTCCAGGAGGCCGCGCACTTGCCCTGGGTAGTTCACCTACCCTGTTGGTTTCTTTGTAAATGGTCCCTTCATCATTAAACTTTCCCCAATCACACACACAAAATTTAATTCAAGAAAAACTTTCAGAGAGAGCACCTAACTAAAGCTAACATTAAAAAGTTATAAAAGTAATGGTTTAAAAGTAATGTATTTTATTGGTTATAAAAGTACTGGTTATAAAAGTAATGCATTTTACTTAGAGATTTTCTAACTATGACAAGAAAATAAAAATCATCCTAATCCCACTACAGACAAGCACAGTTAACAGCTGCGTGTGCTCTCAAGTCTTCTTTTCATGTACACATGTTTTCTTGAAAACTCTAGATTATATAGTATCTTTACTTATCTCACCTGTATCAGTAGTCTATTCATCTTTAAACATTCTAACATTTTTTATCAGCAAAACAACTGAAATATTTCCAGAAACTGCATATAAATTACTATATTTACATTTATAAACTTAGAAGAATTCCTACAATGTAGATACATACATGCTAAATTGTGTTCGCATTATTAAATATCTAGAATTACACTGTACTTTAAGTGAAAGAGAACATTAGAAATGGAGTGAAACATACGTCACTCCAGCAGACATCTAGCACGGGCCCGGTGTGCATCTGCTGGGCTTTCGGGATGGTTTGTCCATTGTCTTGAACTTCCCAGCAGCGAACCTGTGGTAACAGACAAATTAATGCAAACAAAGCAATTCATGAAGTATTACCTGCATTTAACACCTAATAATTAACGGGGTGCAATTTAACTATACATGGACTTCTCGTATCAACCTAATTATCTAACTTTAAGAACAAAGCAATTGAAATAAATATGCCAAGCAGCTGCTTTCCTTTTCCTAAGCCATTAAAATATACACATTCTACTGCTTACACCTAAAATTGCAGAGACTTTTTCCATCGCATCTACAAGATATGTCTTCTAAAGCAGAATGCCACTTATCCATTACCCTCAAGACAATCAAGACCGAAATGGAAACTTACCTCTCTGAATGCTTTTTTTAATATAATTTTTCCCCTGGTTATAAAAGTAATGCATTTTACTTAGAGATTTTCTAACTATGACAAGAAAATAAAAATCATCCTAATCCCACCACAGACAAGCACGGTTAACAGCTGCGTGTGCTCTCAAGTCTTCTTTTCATGTACACACGTTTTCTTTTTATTTTGAGACAGAATCTCGCTTTGTTGCCTAGGCTAGAGTGAGTGCCATGGCGTCAGCCTAGCTCACAGCAACCTCAAACTCCTGGGCTCAAGCGATCCTTCTGTCTCAGCCTCCCAAGTAGCTGGGACTACAGGCATGCACCACCATGCCCGGCTAATTTTTTCTATATATATTAGTTGGCCAATTAGTTTCTTTCTATTTATAGTAGAGACAGGGTCTCGCTCTTGCTCAGGCTGGTTTCGAACTCCCGACCTCGAGCAATCCACCCACCTCGGCCTCCCAGAGAGCTAGGATTACAGGCGTGAGCCACCGCGCCCGGCCCCACACGTTTTCTTGAAAACTCTAGATTATATAGTATCTTTACTTATCTCACCTGTATCAGTAGTCTATTCATCTTTAAACATTCTAACATTTTTTTTTTATCAGCAAAACAACTGAAATATTTCCAGAAACTGCATGTAAAAAGCAAACTTGTTCAACCTGGACAACGCTCCTCCCTCTGTTCTCTCCCAATACCTGCTGCCTCACCAGGCCAGTGTGAGTCCTGTCCCCAACACTTGCATACCATAAACCGACTTTACTGCTGGATATCACAATCGTCACAATTTTCACTAGCATCACGTTTTTATGACAGGCAATACCCGGCAGTGGCTAGGAGCATGGACTCTGAGTTGGACTGTGCTGCCTGCTGCCTCTGGCTTTGCCACCCAGACAGGTGACCCAAGCCAGTTATTTTACTTCCCGAGGCCTCAGCATCCTGATTCATAAAATAGGGATGACAGAAAGTTCACAGTGCTTTAGCTGTCATAAACACTGATTTAGACAATGCATATAACGTACATTATTGGATTTCCTCAAGTCGCAGAAGGGGAATCCATGACATAAAGGGTATAAACTTAAGGATCTCTGAATAATGTTGCCAATTATCCTCAGAAGAGCTCTACCAACTTATATACCTACCAGTAGCACATGTAAGGTTTCAGCTTATCCTTGCTGGTACCATTATTCTTTTAAACTCAATTTTGTTAATTTGATAGAAAAAAAGAGTCTATCTTATAAATTTGCATTTAAGTATGTGACTGAATGGTTAAGTTTATTCTCCCTTTTGTGAAGTGCCTCTTCACATTCTTTATTTTTCTACCTGTTTTTATTTTTTTTACACTATGATTTTTTATTTGTTTTTATACACAAAGGTAAGTACAATGTGAAAGGATTTGTATCATCTAAGTTGAAAAATTTAACAGATGCCTAAAGAACACTTTCAGGGTGCCAAAAGGGAAATTTGTTTGTGTGCGCCACCATGGCTAACATTCATTCCTGATGAATATTACACTTGATCTGGGAATACACTTCAACATACCAGAACTACAGTAGGAATTTCTGAGCAATGCAAGTGATTGTGCTTTCCTAACAAAAATAAGTGTAAGAACAGTGATGTCTGCTGTTTAGAAGGGTTCACACCCTCTAAATTGATTTCTTTAAAAAGGCTATGCATAAGTCTTAACTCTGATTCACTCACTTGGGAAAAAATGGAACTAAAGCTAACCTTGCCCATACAAAGAGATATGATTTATAAAGCATGCATTTAAGGAGCACTTACATCATTAGCCCATGATCCTGCAATAAGAAAGTTCCCCGGCAAGGTTGGTGGGCTAAAAGATAGACAACCAATGCTATCATCAGGAGAAGATGTTACTTCAATATCCTGGAGGGAAAAGTCAATGTTAAAATGTATGCATAATCACAATTTAATTCAAATCTACTTTCTTTCTCACTAATCAACTCATGGCAGACTTTCTTTGTACTCATGAACCAATTGAATTGGACCTTTCCTTACTTTATCAAAAAGAGGAGTAATACCCAAGCCAGTGAAAGCATTAGCACTGCCAGGACTGGAAGCAGCACTCTAAATGAATGCCCTCAGTCTCATTTTCTACATGATGCGCCACAAGGTCATTCCTGCCCCAGTGCTTAATCATAGTTATCAACTGCCCTCCCTTCTCCCCCACCATGGAAGTTCAGATTCAACAGTCCTGGGCCAGGCCCTAGGAATCTGCTGCATTAACAAGCATCTTGGGTAATTCTAAAGATCTGGCAAGTCTAGAGGAATAGGACACTAGCCCAGGGGACCCATGTTATCTGTGCTCCAATGCTGGAGAAAGTTAGGCTAGACAGAGTTTCAGAGCTTTCATACCAAGGGAGGCTCCCAAACCATCTCGTGTTCTCCTTTTGTCCTTGATGTAAGAAACTCTGGCCTAAACTCTTCCTACAAACCCTGTGAAGCTTTGTCAGGTACCTTCATAGGGTTGTGATTATCTGTGGTTGTGCTGCCAAACATGCTGGTCCCACCAGTTCCAAAACCTGAGGTTGTTCCAAACAGACTCATTTTGACCCTAAAAAATAATGGGAAATGTTAAGGACAGGTTCTTTCTTAAATAATAAATATCACTGAGAGAAAGTGTAAAGATAATTAAGTCACAGAAGGGAGATATCCTAAATGGCTTGAGTCCAGGCTTCTCTTCAGAAGAGATCTAAATATGCAATAAGCAGAGTGCTCTTTATTTTTTTTAGAGACAGGGCCTTGCTGGAATGCACTGGCACAATCACAGCTTACCGCAGCCTTGAACTCCTGAGCTCAAGAGATCCTCCTGCCTCAGCCTCCCAAGTAGCTGGGCTATAGGTGAGCACCACCACGCTTCCCTAATTTTTAAACAGAGAGGAGGTCTTGCTATGTTGTTCAAGCTGGTCTTAAACTCCTGGCCTCAAGTGATCCTCCTGCCTAGGCCTTCCAAAGTGCTGGGATTGATTACAGGCATGAGCCACTGCACCTGGCTGCAGAGTGCTTTCTAAAAATAAACTTTTTCAGAATAGTTTTAGGTTACCGAAAATTGTAAAGATTAAACTGCCATAATTCCATATTCAGTTTCCCCTATCATTAATCTTATATTAGTGTGGTACCTTTATCACCATTAATGAACCAGTAGCAATACATTAGATTTTTTTTTTTAGTTACCAGCTAGAAAAATAAATTCTTTCACTCTTTACATAGTTAGTGTACACCAAGACTACAACGGTAAACAAGACAGGAGATCCCCATTCTTTCTTTCATGCTTCCACTTACTAGGAATTTACTTTCTTCTTACTAATTTCTGCATTAGTTTAGGTTTCAATCAATGTCTCTGCATGAAATTTCCAATAACTAGTCCTGGTAGTAATTCAGCAATTTCTCTGTATGATGAATTTTAAAAAGTAATCCACTTTAGCCTGCTAGAGTACCAGAACATTTGCCATTATGTTGTGGAAGTTTAGCCAGCAAGAATTTCCCCTACCCCAAGGTTTTTCCTGGCTATCACAGTCTAGCAGACCCATCAGGATTTGAACAAGGCCTCTGCCACTCACAAGAGCTGGGATTCTAATCTCACCAGGACTCATTTTCCTGCTCTGCAAACACAAAGAATATCAACACCTTCTCCAGGGCTGCTCTGAGGATCAAATCAGATCATGTAGAAAATGCAGTGTCTATTGCATAGTAGACCCAATAAAAAACTTCCTCTTCTTAGTCCCTTCCAAGGAGAAAGTCTGTGTATTATATGTAACTCCCTGATGATTCACATAAACTGATCCCACATTTTAATTGTTAACCAGTTAGCAAATTTTACACCTTTCCAAAAGGAGCCTAACAGCTGAGTGCCATACTTGCTAACAAGCATAACATCTTAAGACAAAACGGAATGGAGAAACTGTAAGGAATTTGGGAAGGCATTAAATTTCCCCAGCTTCATAAAAAATAAGCATGTGCAGAAGAAAAAGTCAAAGCGACAGCTAAGAGCATATTTATATCTCAGAAAGCAACTTTGCAAGAGGACATGGTGCTTGCGAGCCAACCTCTGGCCTCAAATGTGGAGATGTACTTGAAACGCCAGTTAACTGTTTGAATGAATGACAAGACTACTGCAATCAGATCCAGGAGCCAGATATATAGCTTTGGGCAAGTTATTTAGCCTTGATTTTCTTATCTGCAAAAGAGAGACACTAATATCATCAACTTCGCAGAGTTCCGCACATATAGTGCCCAAAACACCATAGATTCTCAACAAATGTTACTTCCATTCTATTCCTCTTCTTCAACATGAATCAAGTTGGGAGAGAACACTTCTACACTAAGGATGAACTTAGGGAAAAGAACATGGTAGGCAAGAGGAATAATCACGTTTTTTGTTTTGTTTGTTTTTGAGACAGAGTCTCACTTCTGTTGCCCGGGCTAGAGTGCCATGGCATCAGCTTAGCTCACAGCAACCTCAAACTCCTGGGCTCAAGTGACCCTCCTGCCTCCACCTCCCAAGTTGCTGGGACTACAGGCATGCGCCACCATGCCCGGCTAATTTTTTCTATATATTTTTATTTGGCCAATTAATTTCTTTCTATTTTTTTTTAGTAGAGACGAGGTCTCGCTCTTGCTCAGGCTGGTTTTGAACTCCTGACCTTGAGCGATCCTCCCACCTCGGCCTCCCAGAGTGCTAGGATTACAGGCGTGAGCCACAATGCCCAGCCATAATCAGGTATTAATCAGCCAATCTGGACACCTTACACTGACCACTGGGAAGCTTCAAATAGCTCAGAAGAAACAAGTACCAGTGGAACCTACCTAATCCCTTCTCACTCTCCCTCCTTGCTCCTCCATCCATCCTTTCTGCCAGGGGACACTGCAAGCTCATCCCTGTCTTGGAGCAGGCACAGTTTGCCCCCCACCCCAAACCTCCCAGCTGCCTCTTCAGATTGCAGTAGTTGCCTCCACAGAACTTTTTGGAGTGATGGAAATGTTTTAAAACTGCAGTTGTGATGTTTACACAACTACATGAAATTTCCCAAACTCATCTAAACGTACACTTTAAATGGGCAAAATTTTATGTTACGCAAGTTACACTTCAATAAAGCTGTCAGACGTATTCTTTTTAAAAGTCACCTGCTTGGAGGCTTCCCTAATTTAACACAATCCAACCTTCGATCGCATTCCCTCGTTTTCTTCACAGCACCTGTTACTTACGACCTGGAATTTCTTTACAATCAACCTCTTCCCGAACAGAATGCTAGTGCCAAGAGGGCAGGGACCTGCCTGGATTCTTTCCTTCCTTAATGTACTCTTGGTCCCACAGCACAATGCCTGGCCGAGAGCCGCTAGTATTTAATAAATACTCGCCTGGAGAAATACTGCCTGTACAACTGTACACATATACATATACAATAAATCCTTGGCTGGGGAAGGCCGAAGCAAACAGTTTCAGAGAGTGGTTAAGTGCTACGGAGGAAATGAAGCAGGTTGGCATGGGAGAGATTAAGAGAGAATGCCCTTCTGCGGAACAGTTAGGGAAGGCTTTTCCGAGCAAATGACGTGTGTCTGAGGAGAAGCCACACGTGTATGGGGAAGGACGGAGGCGATAGACATTGCTATTATCTCAGTGAGGCCCCTCCCGGGGGCCTCGCTTTCCCCATTAGAAAAACGACCGGTCGGACCCTAGGTGACCCCCGAAGGCCTCTTCCAGCCCTGACTTCGCTTCCAGGGGCCACTGATGAGGCTGGGTCAACGGTACGGCTCGCGCTCCAGCAGCCCGCAGCGAGGCTCTCCCCGCAGAGGGGATGTGGCCTCCGCGGACGCCATAGCGGCGGGTGCCGAGGCAACGAGGCACGGGGCTTACCTGAGAGTCGCGCCCGGGCGGGAAGCGGCAGCGGGGAGCGGAGGGCACTGGAGAGCCTGAAGAGCTGCTCCGGCGCGGAGGAGAAGAGGGCGGGGCGGCGCATGCAGGAACCCCAGGAGCCCGGGGTCTCTTCACGCCGGCGGCGGAAACTGCCCCAACAACCGCGAACCGATGCGCATGCGCCCCGGAGCCACTTCCTGTATCGCCCGGAAGGCATCCAAGAAACAGGCTCCTCTTTCCGGAAGGCGATCGCACATGCGCAAAAGCCCTGTTGATGGCGAAAGGAAGTCCTTATGCCAGCAGTTTGCGAATTGGTCGGAAGTTGCAACTAGACACTGCAAGTTGCTAAGCGACCAGTTTTGTAAATCCGCAACTTGGGTTAGTGGATGGCAGTTAGCTGTTTTCGCTTGTGAATTAATTAGCGTGTTTAAACGTCTGAAAAAATTCTGATTGCTGTCAATTCACGTCCAAGTCCATCCTCCGTGGAGCTGCTGTCAAGTCGGCCACCTGGTTCCCTCCCTGGCCTGTTTGCAGTCTCGGGTACCTTGAGCCCCCCAGGGGCTCTTTGGGCCTCAATTTCCTCCTGCATGATGTGGATAATAATGCCTAACTTCCAGGGCTGATCTTAATTAGGGTCAAGTGAAATTAACACGTGAACAACTCTTGCGGAATGTAACGTTCTCTAGAAATGTTAAGGGACTGTTATGACTCATATACAGGCCCACTCCACATATTTCAGATTGTTGGTGTTTCTTCCCCTTTTAGAAGTGTCTGAAGAAGAAAGAGAAGGAAAGAAGGTGAGGGAGGAAAGAAAAGAGAGACGGAGGAGAGGAAGAAAGAGAAGGGAGGGAAGGACAAAGCACGAGGAAGGGATATCGTGAGGCTGTGGTGCAAACACTAGATCCTCTACTCTGCTCAGTGTAGTCTGCATATCTTGACCTCCTCAGGAAGCTTTTGGACCTGTGGGATCTTTTTATAAAATACAGATTCAGTAGATCCAAGGTGAGCCCGAGAACCCACATTTCTACCAAGCTCCCGGCTGAGGTTGCTGGGCCCCAAACTACAGTAAGTACCAAGGATCTAGATCAGACATTTAGAATGATGGGAGCTTTTTAAAAACTCTGGTGTTTGGACTGCACCCTCAGAGATTCTGATTTAGTCGGTCTAGGTGGAATGAAGGCAATTAATATTTTTTAAAAAGCTCTTCAGATGATTCTAAGATGCAGCCAAGATTGAGAACCTCTAGTCTAGATGATATAATAACTAGCACTATCCTGTGATAGTTCATCACAAAACAAGATCAATAAAATTTGTATCCACGGGTGATTATTGAACCATACAGTATGGGTGAAAAATAATTTAAAAATAGAAAATAATTAAAATTAAATTTTGGTACTGGTTATCAAACTAGTAAACTTTTTTGCCATTTTTACACAGGATATTTATGAATGTTTACAGTTTATATTTCCATTTCTAGGTGAATAGAAAATGAACATGCATTTAAAGTGATATTTAGTTTTGCAATGTTAATTGAAAAGTTCTAATATGTTGGTTTAAAGTCTTATAAATAGCTTGGTTGCAAAGCACACGTAAAGCATAGCTTTGCAGTGAATTGGGGCATCCAAGCTGATGACCAAAGCAGATTTCTGTCAAGAAGTATGCAGTATCACACAGAAATCCTCACTGCTTTCCCCAAACTCTTTTGTTGTGTCTCAGACTCTTCCTTCCCATTCCTTTAAAAAATGACTCAAAAATATTTTAAAGAAATTTCCACCCAAAATAATGGATTTGAGAACAGTGGATTTTGAGAGAACAGTGAACTGCTGCCAGCAGAGGGTGACCTTTGCTTGTTTTTATAGGATCGTTTACTTGGTGAACAGAAGTTCATTTAGCAAACAGAAATGTTTCTCAATATTTCATTACAAAAACATTCCACAGAAAATATTTTAATGTACATGTACATGAAGCTTAGTTTTTTTTTCTTTTGAAGATTGAAATTAGGTACATTGATTTTTTTTTTTGAAGCTTAGTTTTGAAAGCATCTGTTCATTTCAGCAGTACTGAACAGATACGTACCTGGAACTAGCAGTTCAACAGAGATACTTAGGAAGTCACACTAGAAATCCTGGAAGGTTTTACCTGTTTTTGTAGCATGTATACTATGTTTTGTTTAATGAAATCATGACTTCTGAAATCATTTAACATCACCAATAACAGTTAAATTTCCTGGAAAACGCAGGCTATTACAAGCAGCTTTTATTTTATAAGGGTCATTATGAACCCTTAAGGAAAAACTGAGTCTCTGAACACCTTTTTATTGTACTAGTTATTATTCATTTTAATTATAAACAGATTCCACTCTGATGTTCTTTTCCTGATTAAAATTATGGAAATATTCAAATTAGCTAAGTAGATGATGGTAGATGGGATGACTGTCAGCAGTTGCCATCTTAAATAGCTGTTTTACAGTAATCCTTTTTAGAAACATAAGAACTATTATTCTAGATGGTTCCCAAATACCAACTAGCATTAATTTTTCATCTTCATCTAATAAAAATAGGTAGTAAAGTCAAACTATAGTGTATTTTGCTCTTCTTCCATTTTCATTTCCCAAGTAACTGAAAATTATTTTAGGTAAATTTCCAAGAATAAACTTGAAGTGATTTAATTATCCAAATTGGATATATCTGCAAGCCTTTTTAAAATTTATTTTCAAATTTGAATGACTGTTGTAGATTTGTCATTCCCTCCCATTTTGATAGTATATGCTAATCCAGATGTGTTGTGGGTTACACATATTTTTAAGTTTGTAATTTCCTCCTTTATAAAACTTGGCAAAGTTCAGCGACATTATTACATATTAAGAAGTATGGCATAAATTTAAAAAAACTTTTGTGATTTATAAAAATGTTTTTTAGAATTTTTGATAGTTTCACAAGTCAGCCAAATTAACAGCATACCAAAATGTCCTCAAAATTAAATGTTTTGTTTCAATGAGACCAGGGAATACAACATACTTGTTAACATCACAGGCATGGCATCGGGGGTCTTGATTTGACACTGGCCAAAAATAAGATTGTTTGATCTTTCCCCAACAGTGTGCACATCAGACCACATGTGAAGCACTTCACATGCACCAGTGTAGTGCATGTACACAGACTCTGGATTTCTGTTCCAGCGCCACTGCTTATTAGTTATGGGACTTGGGAAAGGTACTTAACCTCTCTGTATCTTTGTTTCCTCATCTGTAAAATGAGGATAGTAAAAAGAGTACCTGGCTTAGAGGGATTCTGTGAAGACGAAATGACATATTGTTTACAAAGCACCTAGAAAAATACCTGGCACAAAATAAATGCTATTATATAAGTGCTTTCCTTTATTATTATATAGCCTTATTTAATCCTTACAACAACCTCTTGAGAAGGGCCAGCCTGATGGGTGTGCAAGGTGTGCAGTCTACAGGACCCCAGGCTAAGGAGCCATGCTTGATTTGATTCTCTGCTGCTGTTGTCTTGAAATTCTTAATAACTTCTGAATAAGGAACCCTGCATTTACATTTTGCACTAGAACCCACATATTCTTGAGGTAGATAGTTATTGTCCCCTAGTATTATTATTGTGACTTTGGACAAGTAACATCCTTAGTGTTCTCACCTGTAAACTATGGTATAATTGCTGAGTACGAACAAGGTTTTGGGGAGAATTAAATGAGATACTGTATGAACAGAGATCGGCATGTTTAAGTTCTCAGAAATGGTATCTCATTATTGTTATTACCATTTATCTTTATAAAATAACTGCCCTAACATTTCTGTACTTCTATAAATTTATATTCTTGCTTAAAACTTTCAGTGAAGTTAAAGGTTTACTGAAAGTACAGAATAAAATCATAAAACTATTCTCTGGCAAAATTAAGGTAGGTTTATGGAGGGGAAAATATCACATCTTTATTATTAGAGAAGTGCCTTATTAAAATTTGAGGCTTCTATAAATCTTAAAACTGAAGAAGTTCTTCATTTTATAGACCTAGACTACAGAGGAATTCAAATGCTTGAATTTGAGTGATAATCCATAAGACCTTGGAGAGCCTTTTCAAATAAATCATATTATCAATAAAAAGTACACACAATACAAAACAAAACACTGAAGACTATATCAACCCAAGTATTTATTCATAATACATTTTACTAATTTAACAAATGAATTAGTGGGGTTAATTCCCTATACTAAAACCCCTACACTTTGAAGGCAAAGGAAATGTAAGAAGGAAGTACTAGACACTATAATTCATTTGCAACATATCAATGATTATTATTGTTATTAATAAGATACTTCATGCTTTAACACTAGTTATATTGTAGAAAGTAAATGAAATATTTTTGTAGACTTTGATGACATGTATAAAATACTATTTTTTCAAATAAAATTTAAAAGTCAAAGTAACATATATCCTCTTATAATTTACTTTAGAACTTAGGCTAGAAATCAGTCTCTACAGAGGATAAAATAAAGCTTTCTAAAGAAAATTGAAGTATAGCATTTATTTTGAAAAAATCTAATTAATGGAAAATTCTTTTATTTTACTTTTACAGAGTTAAGAATATATGTTCTTTCCACAACAGTATTTACCAACTAAAACAAAACTAATGAAAAGCCTCTGGCAATCACAAATTCTTCTGATTTATTTTTATATCCACCCTCCAAATCTTAATTTGTTAGGTAAGTATACTCTGGAAAGATAATCTGATGATAGGAAGGTCAAAGCTTGAATTTCTGCCTTCATTTTAGAATCTGCCATTATTTCCATCTGTTAATAAAAATAAAATTTTGTCATACCAAGTTCTTTGCTGCAGTTCTATCACTTCAACAAACTAGTAAATCTACACTTGTTATATTCTCTAAAACCTCAGGCAATAAATAGCCTTTAGGATCACCTGGAATATTCTAGAGCTGCTACAGATAAAAGTATCAGGCTTCAGAATATGTAGCATGGATGCCTTCAATAACTAGGAGAGGTCTGAGATCTTTGTAATGATTTCTTTATCTTCTTCTTCTTTTCTTACCCCCCCCAAACTGTAATACAGTCATCAACAATAGATATCTTAACTATGAAGAGGGTAAAAATAGACCAGCTCCATTCATCTGATCTCATCTATTAACACTCATATGATTGAATTTCAACAACTATTTACTGCCAAACAACACTAATGTTAGTTTTTGGTTATATAAAATTTCAAGAAGGATATTTTCAAAATACTATGTGAATAAGTGAAAGACAAATAAATATATAACATTTGAATTTTAAAAAGAAACATCTTATACTTCTTTTCTCCAAAATGGTTGGCAGGTAACATAAGGTCTCTTCAGGATACTGTCAAGTTTCATTTGGTCCCGTGTTGTCAGCGGAATCAAACTATCTTTAGGTATATTTAACCTGGAAAAAATAGAGGAAAAAAATCAGTAAAAACAAAGTGTTCCTACAACATGAATATCACATATATTTTGCCTGTATTTATTGTACTGTTTCAAGAAACTCAGAAATAACAGATAAAATTAGTACAGATCTACCTCTTAAATCCAGGATTTGGGGAACTGTCATGTCCTAGACCAGAAAGTTTTCAAGTGGAAGTTCGTTTTCACAGAACTAAGTTTTTGTTTTCATTCAGGTCACACTCATGATGATGACAGGAAGGCAGATGTTAGTTATCAAGTAAAGGCCAACAGCACTAACATCATGTATGTGGACACCAAGTAGCTCAATGACGGTGCAGTTAAGCCTCCCAGACCTTCGTATGGTTTGAGCAGTGAGCTCCAATATGTATGGCCAGCAACTGAGATTGAGGGACTTTAGATTACACTGAGTATGTATTATTTGTAATTCATTAAAGATTCTGGGCCATGGAAGTTGGAAGTTAGTCTATCACTTTCTCTCTCTCTCTCTCTCTCTCTCTAACTCTCACACTTATCTAGTTTTAAATCTGAAAAAAGTAGTATATAACTTTACTGTGATATGTGTTTTATTTTATTTTATTTTATTTTTTATTTTTATTTTTTTTGAGACAGAGTCTTACTCTGTTGGCCAGGCTAGAGTGAGTGCCATGGCGTCAGCCTAGCTCACAGCAACCTCAAACTCCTGGGCTCAAGCAATCCTTCTATCTCAGCCTCCCGAGTAGCTGGGACTACAGGTATATGCCACCATGCCCGGCTAATTTTTTCTATATATATATATTAGTTGGCCAATTAATTTCTTTCTATTTATAGTAGAGACGGGGTCTCGCTCTTGCTCAGGCTGGTTTTGAACTCCTGACCTCGAGCAATCCGCCCGCCTCCGCCTCCCAGAGAGCTAGGATTACAGGCGTGAGCCACCGCGCCCGGCCAGGTTCTATTTTTAAAACACATATCAGGCCGGGCGCGGTGGCTCATGCCTATAATCCTAGCACTCTGGGAGGCCTAGGCGGGTGGAACGTTCAAGGTCAGGAGTTTGAGACCAGCCTGAGCAAGAGTGAGACCCTGTCTCTACCATAAATAGAAAGAAATTAATTGGCCAACTAATATATATAGAAAACATTAGCCGGGCATGGTGGCGCATGCCTGTAGTCCCAGCTACTTGGGAGGCTGAGGCAGGAGGATCGCTTGAGCCCAGGAGTTTGAGGTTGCTGTGAGCTAGGCTGACGCCATGGCACTCACTCTAGCCTGGGCAACAAAGTGAGACTCTGTCTCAAAAAAAAAAAAATTGTTTAATTAAAAATAGAACCTGAGAGGTCCAGGATTTATGGTGTGTTCTACTTTTTGAAGTCACAAATCCTAGATTCCCCAGAAGAGCTCCAATTTCAAATAATGTTCTCAATGTCCCCATAATTATGACAATTTGCCAGGGGCAGCTCCTGCGTAGGAGTGACAATTTGATTGAAAAGGAGGCCTAGAGGATTTTCCTTGAAGCCTACTTCTATAGTTACTACACTGTTTTACCTTTGAGAGTGTATTTATTTGGAGTGGCTTTTGAGAGCACTGATGGGATTTATGAGATGCAGCTAGAGTTTCTCCAAGCCCTCTATCTTAATAATTATCAGATCATTTGTTCTGAATTTGTGTTTAAAATGATCTTCAAACAAATAGATCACCCCCAAGGGACTTTGACACGATACATACACTAAATTGAACAAAAATTTAATTCATGGGGGTATAAATGTTTAAAAGTCAAAAATGAGATGTTTCCTCTTGTGCCCTCATTTTGTAAGAAGTAGCTGATCACCACAAACCTGTTGGAAACAAGCACCTGTTATCAATAATTGCTCATTGCTTAAAGAAATCCAATAAACATGGTAAAGTTCATTCTTGCTGGCCAATTAAAATGATAAGAAGACATTTAAAAATATCACATTAGCACAGATTTAAAATAAATATTAATGCCCTATGCTGAGGGACAGTGAACTCTTAGTCTCCAGGAATAGCAAAATAATTAACCTATGCAGAGGGCAGTCAAAGCCTTGAAAATGTGTATACTCTTTGACCACCAATTCTTCTGGGAATTCAGCCTAAGGGACTAATTAAAGCTGTGGACAGAGATTTAGTTACAAGAGGGCCAATCTTGTAACTATCAGAGCAGAGATTTGGAAACCACCTAAATGTCTGACTATGAGGGATTGGAATCTTAACTCAGTAACAGAAGATGCTGAGAGGAGAAATATTTATTGACATGGAAACGTCACCACGTTGTGTAAAAAGAAGTGGATTACAAACAGAGTATGATCGCATTTTTGTGAAGAAGTTAATGCTATGCACAAAACATTTACAAAAGTAAAGCTGCTCTTCCATAGGTGATTTTTATCTTGTTACCTAATTATATTTTTTTCTATAATGAACATATATATTAATAATAGACTTGTCAATTTTGAGTTTCCTAAACTTTAATAATCTTAAAATGATATTTTTCTTTTGATGTTAAAATTTAAAATGAATCCTAAAATTGATTCATATGGCAAATGATGTTGATGTTACAATTTAATTAGATTCAATTAAAATAGTAAAAAATATATTAAATTTAATTAAATTCATTAATGTATTTAATTCATAATTATATAATCCTGAGTCATAGTGAACAATTTAAATAAAAAACAATAAGAGCTTTCCCTTGGATTGACTTTTTAGGCTTACTGTTACATATAACTATGAATCATCACTTTAAATATCCTAGTTTTGTTATACCATCTAACCTTTTAAGATCAGAAGGGAGGAGACCAAGCCATCTAACAGCTGGAACTGTGAGATTATGAGCTTCAAAAGACATAGACTAAAATAAAGAACAAAATATATTAAATGAGGCTAAATTGCAGAAAACTAGCATACTTGTTTTTACAGCCAAATTTTTTTACTTATTAAAGAACAACAGGGCTGTGCATAGTGGCTCATGCCTGTAATTCTAGCACTTTCAGAGGCTGAGATGGGAGGATTGCTTGAGGCCAAGAGTTCTGAGCAAGAGTAAGACCTCATCTCTACAAAAAATTAAAAAATTAGCTGGGCATGGTGGTATGTGCCTGTAGTCCCAAGCTACTCAGGAGGCTGAGGCAAGACTTCTTGAACCAGGAGTTTGAGGTTGCAGTGAGCTGTGATGAATCACCATTGCACTTCAGCCCAGGTGATAGGACGAGACACTGTCTCAAACAAAACCAAAAAACCTAAAGCTGGCTTCACATGCCCAGAGCCCACAGAAGTAAGAAAATCACTGGGAGCTGGGTTTTCAGTGAAGGTGTTGAAACTTCTCTGTAGTATTTCTGTATTAATTTTCTATAAAGCAAAACTAAAAATTAACCTCTTCAACCTGTATTTATCATTGTTTGTGAATCCATATCTTATACCGTGCTCCACTATCCTTTTTGTTTGCTATGACCTTTAGCGTGCATCAGAATCACCTGGAGGTCCCCCAGTGCTGCTGGTTCAGTAGGTCTGGACGGGGACTGAGATTTGCATTTCTAACCAGTCTCCAGGTGATGCTGACACTGCTGGCCCAGGGCCACACTTTAAGAACCACTGATACACGGTAATTGCAGACTCTAGTGAAATTTGGTGTTTTCATTTCTCCCTATGGTAGGAGACAAGGGACTGGCAAAGTCAGAATTAAAGCTATATATAATATTTAGAGTATATTTGGCAATCAGTGTTGTTGTTAGTCTGGGGCCCCACCGTTACTTCAATAGACCAGGAGAGTGCAGGATAATAAATAGCCTCTTGCCCACAGCTATTCCCACTGTCAGCTGTGGTTGCACTGGTCACGCTGGAAGCTGGAATCACAGCCACTCAAACAGATGGGTCCTGGAATAGGATACTAGGCTCTCTGGTACCTTTTGGGAACTCTCAGCCTACTTGGGGGTGATAAGTAAATGCAGAAATCACCCCCAATGAATATAAAATATCTAAATATGGGAAAAAGGAAAACTACTTTTCTATACTTACCATCGATCCATACTTATAGATGCACATTATTTCTATGCCTGTTAAAAGAAAGTTAATTATAAAATTTATCTTGTTGTATATTACAGGTTAGATAATCTACTCTCAAATTTTATCTAACATCTACAATTTTAATTTTGCGGACATTACCAATGAAAAATTTATGGTTCTCAGTTTAATATGGCAAAAAAAATACCACTATAAATTGTCTCAAATGATTATAGCCCTATTTTAATCTCATCATTTTCTTTTAAAATGTTTTATGAAAGTGTTCTGAGAATTGAAGACACAGCTGCAAATGCTATTGTTCTGAATAACCCAGTGATAACCACCGTGTGGATCGGCATCTACGAGAGTGAACACTGGGGTGTGGAACGTAGCCCAGAGCCTCTTGACCAGAAGTCTTGTGTTCAGATCAGGAACTCCCTTTCCCTAAAAGCAAGATGAAAATTAGGCATTTTAATTCTAGTAGAATGAAATGAATACAACTACATCCTTATTTTATTAAAAATTTAAAAGATACATCGCCCGACCTTGAATTTCAAGTGGTAGAAGACTGTGGTGTTGACTGAAAAAATGTATAATATATACAACAAGGTGAAGGACTGGGAATTATCCCAGTCTTATAAAATGAGCCTAAGGAAATATTTCAGCAGAAACAGAAATAATAAAAATTCTACATACTTAAAGATGCTCACTGCAGAGTTACTTAAAATGACAAAAGCTAATATAAGTAGCCAAAATATCCAACCGCAGGAAGATGGAGAGGTGGCACAGCACAGCGGTGGTATGCACCAGCTGCAGGGCCAGATAGCCTGGGCCGGCATCTCTGCTCTGCCACTTCTTCACGGCAGGAACTTAAATGAGTAAGGAAACTACTCTGTGGTTTGGGGCTCTGTAACCCCCTATAAGGTTATTATAGGAATTAAATTACTTAATAATCATAATGCACTTAGAAGACTAGCTGGCTTAAATTTAGGGTTTAATAAATTCTAAATGGTGGAATAATGAATTCATTAAAACAATAATTACAGAGGAAATTTAAAGTGTTACAATGATGTTAAGAGAAAAGCAGCAAACCAAGAGACACATGGAGCAGAGGAAGAAAGCAGAGTACACATAGAAATTAAGAATGGGCTTTGGTTGGTGTGGATGCGGAGTGACAGGAACACTCATACACTGCCGTTGGGACTGCAAACTAGTTCAACCTCTATGGAAAGTAATATGGAGATACCTCGAAGAACTACAAGTAGAACTACCATTTGATCCAGCAATCCCATTACTGGGCATCTACCCAAAGGAAAAATAGACATTCTATAAAAAGGACATCTGCACTAGAATGTTTACAGCAGCACAATTCACAATTGCAAAGATGTAGAAACAACCCAAGTGTCCATCAATAAATGCATGAGTGGATTAATAAAATGTGGTATATGTATACCATGGAGTTCTACTCAGCCACAGAAAAGAATGGTGA